CATCTGAGGTCTGCTGTTGGATTTTCTCAGCGCAGTCACTCGCTGTTCTCTGCTGTTCTGGGAACAGCCCTGCTGCGAGAGCAGAGCAGAAGCAGATCGGGAGGAGAAGAGGATAAATTATTCCTCTCCCAGTGGCTTGCCCAGACACATCTGAGATATTTCTGTGTGTCCCAGGCCAGCCAGAAGTAACAGCAGGCTGAGCAATCCGGCAGCAAAGCCCCAGGACATGGCAACAAGGAGAAATTTCCAAACTAAAAGCTTTTAGATTTTGCTGACTTCACTTTCTTGGATTTTTTTAGATGCTGGGGCGTGCTGGGAGACCTCAATACGACACCAAAGGAGAGGGGATCCTCATCACGTCCCATGGCGAGCTGCAGTATTACCTGTCCCTGCTCAACCAGCAGCTCCCCATTGAAAGTCAGATGGTGTCGAAGCTCCCGGACATGCTGAATGCTGAGACCGTGCTCGGCAACGTCCAGAATGCTAAGGCGAGTGCGAGTCTTTGCTGCCCTCACCGATGCGTGTCCTTTGTTGCACCCAGAGAATTGCAAGGGACGATCAGCGTGGGGGAAGGATGCCGTCATTGTCTGGGAGGAAAGAAACTTGCAGCATTTGGTCCCGGGGAGCAAATTTTTAAGACATCTGGAAGGGCAGCTGCAAGAACTACCAGGCTGTAAGGCGAGAGGGGAGATGCTGGTGTAATTCAAGAGCAGAGCTCTCCATGTGGAAAAGGATGCTGAGGAAAAATCTGCATGTAGAGGGCTTTTTTTTTTAAAAAAACCTTCATATTTTTCTGGTACTGGAGTTGTGTATGCCACTGCTGGGCTTGCAGGCTCTGGTTTGATGTTAAATCGGCAGGATTCAGCTGGGCTCAGCCTGCCGTGTTCTACGCTGTTGCTGGGAGCGCAGGGCTCCGAGCCGGAGTGTTGCCCTTGCCGAGAGGTGTGTTCATCGGTTCTTAACATGCCTTGATGCTTCCTCAGGATGCGGTGAACTGGCTGGGCTACACCTACCTGTACATCCGAATGCTGCGCTCCCCAACCCTCTACGGGATCTCCCACGACGATCTGAAGGGGGATCCGCTGCTGGACCAGCGCCGCCTGGATCTGGTTCACACCGCCGCCCTCATGTTGGACAAGAACAACCTGGTGAAGTACGACAAGAAGACGGGGAACTTCCAGGTGAGACGGGACCTGGGAAAAAGGCGCTATGACCAAGCAGAGCGGGACGGGAGCATCTTCTGTCTGAGAAAAAGGGTGCAAGAGTCACCTTGCTGATGAAATACGGGTCTCAGGGCGTGCTGCGTTGCATGTTTGGAATTCCAGGGAGCTGTTTGCTGGCATAGGGAGCGCTGGTGTAAAACCTGACCCTCGCTCTGTCGCTGGTGTGTGTTTGCTGCTGCCTCCGAAGCAAATACGACTCCCGTTGTATTTTTGTTGCTTCAGTGAGATGAGAAAGGGGAGGCTGTGGTGTGTGGGATTGGGTACAGGGTGAAGCAGGTGGTTTGTAGCCTGGGAATTGACGCTTGGCTTGTCTGGAGACATCTCGCCCGCTGCAGTTTAGTTCCTGTTCAGCATTGTCAGTCTGTGCTGTGAACAGTTGAGTGTCTTTCAGCTGCTTCACTCTGGCCGCTGTCATTTGGCAGGTGACGGAGCTGGGCCGCATCCCCAGCCACTACTACATCACCAACGAGACGATGCAGACTTACAATCAGCTCCTCAAACCCACCCTGAGTGAAATCGAGCTGTTTCGGGTCTTCTCGCTGTCCTCAGAGTTCAGGAACATCACCGTGAGGGAGGTACAGAGCCAGACACCCATCCTGAGCGCGACGGCCCCGCGGCATCAGCCTTCATGCCGCAGGGGAAGCTGCAGCCATCTCTCCCTGCGAGGGACCATTCTCAGCTCTCCCGCCTTTGGTTTTCTGCAGGAGGAGAAGCTCGAGCTTCAGAAGTTGCTGGAGCGAGTTCCTATCCCGGTGAAGGAGAGCATAGAGGAGCCCAGCGCCAAGGTGAGCCCTGCCTGCGCCCCCGAGGGGACTTCTGTGCCCGTTTTGAGGGGAGTGGTGATCCTGGTGGTAAAAGCCACCCTCGGGAGGATTTCTGTTCTCTGTGGGACATCCTGGAATGGGTCAGAGCTGCTTGAAGAGCTGCGAGTGCTTTTGATTTCTGTTGAGCGTGGGGTGGGATGGTCAGTCCTTGTTGATTGCTTCTGTCCTGCCACGTGTCAAAGCCCAGTGCTGGTGCGGAGGGTGCTGAGCCCCTTCTCTGCTCTGCTTCCCCAGATCAACGTGCTCCTCCAGGCCTTCATCTCCCAGCTGAAGCTGGAAGGGTTTGCTCTCATGGCTGACATGGTGTACGTTACCCAGGTGAGCCGGGAAACGTGGCTGGGGTCTCTCTGGTTCCCCTTCGATGGGCACAGTCCAGCCACATCTCAGTCTCAGACAACTCAGGAATGTAGTTTGTGGCCTTCAATGGCTTTGAAAATGACAAGAGCTGGGAGCGGCGAGGTCTGACCCTTGTCAGGATGGGAATTCCATCTTCTGTGGAGTCTCCAATTTGTAATCAAAAAGATTCAGCACTAGGGAAGCACGGTGCAGCCTTTTTCTGCCACAAAAGCCAATTCCCAAGGCTGGGAAACAAGGAATTGCTCCACGTGAAGGTGTTTGGGATGAAGGACCTTCAATTATAATTCAATACTTATAAGAATGATGAGGAAAGACTTTTTACTGGGGCCTGTAGTGATAGGATGAGAGAGAACAGTTTTAATCTGAAAGAGGGGAGATTTCGGTTGGAGATAAGGAAGAATTTTTTTATTTTGAGGGTGGTGAGACACAGGACCAGGTTGCCCAGAGGAGGTGTGGACGCCCTGTCCCTGGAGGGGTTTAAAGTCCGGTTGAACACGGCTCAGAGGAACCTGATCTAGAGAATGACATCCTGGCCCATGGCAGGAGGGCTGGACTAGATGATCTTTAAAAGGCCTTTTCCAACCCAAACCATTCTATTATCACGTGGCTGGGCAGGAAAATGGGTAGGAAGGAGGAAGAGTTGGATGTGCTGATGGCAGCCCAGCTCTGAGAGCGGCTCTCTGTCCCCGCAGTCGGCCGGGCGGCTGATGCGCGCCATCTTCGAGATCGTCCTCAACCGGGGCTGGGCCCAGCTCACCGACAAGACCCTGAACCTCTGCAAGATGATCGACAAAAGGATGTAAGTGAGGTCTCGGAGGTATTTTCTCATTGCAGGCTGGTTAAAATGATTTCTTGTAGCCTGGTGAGGTCTGCGGGGTTTGGGAAGGAGGCTGCTTGTGCCCGTCAGGGTGTAAAGGAGCTGCCGCGTGTGTCAGGGGCTGGTGGTGGGCAGCGTGGGGAACCTCGGCGCTCTGAAGGCTTCGTCTTTAGAATCATCGAATCATTAAGGTTGG